AAGGTTGATATATGCAAGATATGCATAGGTAATGTTATTTTGAGGTTCAAACAAATGCAATATTTGATATATTATTTACAATAACAGTGTCAATATATAGGAATTAATTAAATACCAAGTCTAAGAGAATATTGATCATTAGGGAAAAGAATAAGATGATACTAAGGAGGAGCACATAGTGTGTTGCTATGTTACCCATACACTACATTCTTTTGGAGATTTGAAATCCTTTGGAACAAAAATTTAAAGAAAATGAGAACTTAGGGGAACCCCACATTACAAAAAATTTCTACAAATTAGGAGTGAAGGGAATCAACAAAATCTGTGAAAAGATATAGAACAAATGACAACAGTTGAAATATACAACTCTGATCTTGTAGTCAGTCCTTCTTAGCTACATAGAGTGTATCACATTCACTGGTAAATATAGTCAACCTATTCTTAGTTTCTTCTCATGCCCTCTACTGCAAGATATTCCTCCAATGCAATAAACAGAGTAATTTTTCATGAAAAAGGTCAGCAATCACTTGGAGACAAAAACAGCAAGTCATTCAAAATTTAACTATTTAAGAACCGTATGCTAAAAAAACAAAAGTCATATGTTTCAGTCTCATATGAATCAATTAGTTTTGCCCTTTTCTATGGAAGAGAATCAGCTCACCAATCATTTGGATTATGACAAGTAAAAAGATAAATCATCACCAATACAGAGAAAGAAATCTAAAATTTACTAACACTATGGAAAGAAAGTATCTTCGCCATTAAATGTTAATATCTATAATTTATTATTTTAAATACCTACCAAGTATTGCCTCTTATAGTTTTGATAAAATTTCTGAGGTAGGTACTATTTAAAAATATATTTTTTAAAAGATAATCTAAATCGAGTTAAAGAAGTTGAACAACTTGCCCAAGTTCACATAGATGTGATTATGTCTCCAATATAAACCTATGTACTCAGACTGCAGAACTTTATCCATTCCTCTGTAAAGGTATCTCCCACAAATTTCACACACAAAAACTAAAAAAAAATCACTAAAAATCTATACTTTATTTGCTGCACATTCCCTTTTCTAATTTTGAGGACTGTTATCAGAAAAGTGTCTTTTGTGCATCTACTGTGCTTATCATGAGTTTATGTCATATATTCTGCAAATGATTTGCTAATGTTGAAATATCCTTGCATCCCCAGGATATATATCATTTGATCATGGCATAAAATCTGCTTAGATATTGCAGTTTTCCTTTTTGTTGTTGTTGAGCCTTTATCTCATTTTTGTATCAGGATAATTCTTACTCTCAAAACTTTAAAAGACACTGAGACAAATTGTCATTACTTAAAATTCTGGTAAAATTTATTGTAGCCACCCTGTTCTTTTCTTTATTACTGACTAGATTTTATTACCTGTTATTGGTCTGTTCCTGGGTTTTGGTATATTCATGGCTTAATTTTGGTTACATGTGTCCATAAATTTAACTATATCTTCCAGGCTTATCAATCCACTAGCGTACTATTGCACATAATAGTCTGTAATTATCCTTTGTATTTCTGTGGCATCCACTATAACATCTACTTTTTCTTTTCTGATTTAATTTTATTAGGTCTTTTTTTTCCTTATTAATCTAGCTAAATTTTTCTCTATTTTTTTTCTTTTTGAAATAATCAACTCTATTTCACTGATCTCTATATTGCGCTGTTAATATCTATTTTATTTTTTGTCTCATCTTTGTTATTTCTTCCTACTAATTTTTGTTTCATTGTTCCTGTTTTTCCTTTTCCTTGAGTTATATCATTATAGTATCACAAATGTTTGGAGATTTACTGTTCTTGCTTTACCTTAGAGATTTTTCAATGTTTTCATTTTCATTTGTTTCAAGAAAGTTTTATGTTGCTCCCTTGATTTCTTCATTGATTCATTAATTATTCAAGGAAAGTTTTAGCCCATAGTGGTCAGACAGGTATATGCTAAAATTGTAATTTTTCTTTTAAAATTCTGAGTTGTTTAGTGTTCTATTGTGTTGTCTATTCAAAAGAATGATAACTGTGATGATGAAAAGAATGTGTGTTCTTTATTTGTTGGATTGACTATCATGTAAGTATTTGATAGGTCCATTTGCTCTATACACATTATACAATGAAGACTTCTATCTGAGCCATCAGTCCACTGGTGAATATGAAATGCTGAAGTAGTACAACTATTTCTTTTAGATATTATAATGTTTATTTATATAATGTTTTAGCATTGGATGAATATAATATGTGCAATAATTATTTCTTGTTGTTGAATTGCTACTTTTATCATTACATAGTGACCTCCTTTCAATCTCTTAGAAGTTTTTGATTAAAATTATTTTATCTGATATAAGGTAATCATTCTTACTGTTGGTTTCTATTTGTATGGCATTCCTTTTTTCATCTCTTTCAGTGCATCGGTATTTTTACTAGTGAAGTAAGTTTCTTGTAGACTGTATAATGTTGTATTCTTGTGAATTTTTTAAATCCATTCATTTAGTTTATATATGCTCATGGGAAAATTTAAAACATTTACATTCAACATTCAATGTTCTTGTTCATATGTAAAGATATATTTTTAAAAAAATTTTTTCTTGTAGCTTTGTAAATTTCTCTACTGCTTTCAATCTACCAAGTTTGTGGTCTTACATTAAGGTCTTCATATTTGCTTTGAATTGAGTTTTGCATAAAGGGAGAAATGGTATACTCAGTATTTACATGAGGATATTCAGTTTTGGAAGAATCATTTGTTAAAGAGAATTTTAGAAGCATAAATTTCCATTGTGTATATCTACCACATTTTCTTGATCCATTCATCTATTGAGGGGCATCTGAGTTGGTTCCATATCTTAGCTATGGTAAATAATGGTGCAATGTACATGGTTATGCTGGTAGGTTCAGTGTGGCCTAGCTTGTGATCATTTGGGTAAATGCCCAGGAGTAGGATTGTTGGATCATAGGGGAGTTCTATGTTTAGTCCTTTGAGGAACCTCCATGCTGCCTTCCAGAGTGGTTAAACTAGTTTTCTTCCCAACAACAGAATAGTAGTTTTCTCTTTTGGCTACATCCCCACCAGCAACTTTTATTCTTTGTTTTCTTGATAATAACCATTCAACAGATGAGTGGATCAAGAAAATGTGGTATATATACACAATGGAATTTTATCAGGAAGAATGACATTGCCCCTTTAGTAAGGAAATGGAAAGGCTTGGAAAAAATAATATTAAGTGAAGTAAGCTAGACCCAAAGAAGCATAGGTTGTATGGTTCCCTCATTTCTGATAATTGGTGTATGTCTAGGATAGTCCTGGCAGAGAATCATAATAGCTCAATAGCTAGGTACATATAACCATACAAAATGATGCTAATTGAAATGAACTCCAAGACATAGAAACAACTGGTCTTTTTTTTTTGGTTGTTGACCTGGTTGTTGCCAATGTACTTATATCTAGTTCTTTCTTCTTATTTTATTTCATTTTTCTTTTTCCATTGGTTTATCCCTGGTAATCACTGTCTTTGATTCTGGTACCCGTCATCTTGTATATACATTTATCTGATTTGGGGAAGGGAAGGGGAATAACAAAATGCTGAAAGGACAAAGGATGACCTAATGCAACAACGATACTCACAAGACACCATGTTAGAAATGAACTTTAGAACTTCAGAGGGTTGAGGGAGGTTAAGGGAGGGAAGGGATAGTGGGAGAACAACAAAGGATTAGATAACAATGTTCAACAAGAAATGTGCTCATTAATCATGTAAGTGTAACCACTCTGAACAGCATCTTTACAATAAAATAAATAAAGAGGCTTTTTTATCTCCAATAAACATTAATCTATAATCAGATGGCCCTATTTTCATGGGCTTATTTCAAATACTTAACAATATGAGAGAAAAGAAGTCCTATCTAAGCTAATGTGTATAGATTATTCATCACAGTCTCTACTATTTGTGAACATGATGCCTCCCACTGATTTAAAACTGTTACACAAAAAACTAGGTATTGGTGGCACATGCTTGTAATCCTACCTATAAAAGAAACTGAGATATAAGGATCGCAATTCAAAGCCATCCCAGGCAAAAAAGTCTGTAAGACTGTAAACTCTATTTAACCACCAAAAAGCTAGAAGTAAAGCTGTGGCTCAAGAGGTAGAGTACCAGCCTTGAGCTATTTATGAGAAAATTGGCTTAAAAATCCTAAGAATGTTTTTGAACCTTATTTACCATAGGAAATGTTAAAATCAAATGACCTGTTCAAAGTTATATGTAAATGTAGTAGCAGAATTAATACTCTTGGTATTATCACATTATGTATTTGCCATAGGTGGTTAACACATATTATGGTAAATACATAAAGAGACATAGTGTAAAATATACTTTGCATTTCATTAACTTCACTAGAGTATCAAAATAGACATAATTATTAATCTGTTATTCAATAAACAAATAATTCATCACAATAATTATAAAGTTATCATTCAAGATATATAGGAAATTGATTCTAGGCCTCTTTTGCAAATACTAAAATCTAAAGTTGCTCAAATATCTTATAAAATGGCATAACATTTATATATAAACTTTGTATATCTTCCTGAATACTTCAAGTCACTGGTTGACTATAATACCTAATTTATTGTGAACTCTATGTAATTTTTATACTATATTACATAGAAAATAATCATAGGAAAGAAATTTTTATGTTTACTATAGATGTGGATTTTCTCCAAATATTTTCAGTCTAGGTTTAGGTGAATTCACAAATGTACACCATGCAAATAAAAAGAGTCAAATATACTTGTTAAATCCCATATACCTAAATGGATTTATATATGAATGTGTATTATCTATAATTCAGGTCTACAAAAACTACAGAAAAAGTAAAATTAAAATATTCCACAATGTATATTTCTGAATATGAAAATTTATTTAAATTTTGTTTTGGTCAATTGTAGGAAGGCTATGTAAAATTTTTAGAAAAAGTCTCTCACCTGTATTGAGTGGTTTGAATTAGTTTGCTGAGATAATGTATAGAGTGTTCCTTGTGACTCCTGAAGTTTTTCTTTTAATTTTGCATTTTCTTGTTCTTTTTGAAATAGCTGATCCTGAAGATTAACAACACTTTGTCGGAGCACAGCTTCATTTGATTTTGTGGTTTCCAAACAAATATGTAACTCATTATAAAGCTGTGTTAAAAAAGTTCCAGATTGAATTAATAAACATGTTATTATTTTTATATTTGTACATGCATATATTTCTATGCACATTTAAATTTGTCTGGAGATATACAGATATAGATAGATAGAGAGATGCATGATGACAGCTACACTGAAGCCAGGCACCAGAGGCTCATTCCTATAAATCCTAGCTACTCAGGAGGGTAAGATTTGAGGATCACAGTTTGAAGCCAGCCCAAGAAAGAAAGCCTATAATCCTATCTACTCAGGTGGTTGGTATCTGAGAATCAACCTTCCAAGCCAGACCAGGCTGTGAAGTCCATGAGATTCTTATCTCCAATTAGCGATCCAAAAAAGTGAGAAGTGGAGCAGTGGCAAGTGGTGAGTGCTTGCCTTGAGCAAGCAACTCAAAACATTTTGTCTAATAAGAGACTATATACTATCATTTTGATTTTTAGCTTATCCATTTCACTTTACAAAGTCTAAGCAATTTTCTAAAAGAAGTGTTCTTTATATTGTTAAAAGGAATTTCAAAATATAAATTTATACTTTATAACAGGAAGTCTTTTCCTCAGATAATATAATCAGATACTCTATGAAGGAAAAAATGGAAATCTGAGAGTTTTGAGGGGCAATGAAGATGTCAGCTTGGGCTCAATAGTGGCCCACCTGTATTGTGTTGATGCTTTCATGATTTAGTTCAGGGTAGAACAGAAATAAAAAGGGAACTCTGAACAAAGTAACTAAATTGGCAGGATAAAGTTGAATGTAACCTGAGTAAAGGTGGTGTATGGTGTATGATACTCTTAGGTGGTACATCCTTTACAAAAATAGAGTTCACGGTATTTAATCATGGAAGAAAGTCTTGTCTTAACCTCTTTTCTTCTCTACCTTTGATGCATAATTTACTCATAAAATATAGGATTAACGGGACTCTTTTTCTCCTGTTCTCAGCTTTTACAAAACTATACTCCTATCCAAAAGTTTACCTGATATGACTAAATGAGTAGACAAACTATATCTTACACTGAATATCCATCATTCCAAGAAGCAAGTGAAAATAACACTAGTTCAAATGGTGCAGGTCAGGTTGGTTCTAGGAACTGAGATACACTCTCATTTCTAATTCTTACTCCAAATATACATCTCCTACTCATTTTCCTTTTCTCATTGATAGGTGACTGGTCTTCACTTACTGAAACAGCAATAAGACTATTGAATTGCAAACTTGAGTATAGGAAGCGAAGATAGCCCAGCAAGATTAAATATATTTGATTTCTAACATTTTCTTGGTGACAAAACCTTGGAGTAACAAAATAAGGAAGAAGTTCATTTATTTTTAAGTTATAATTTATTATCTTATTTTTTGAGTATTTTTATTATCTTCACATAGTTGTACAAAAGATTTGTCATTCACCAAGGCAGTCTATGAATACATTGTATCTTGATCAATGTCACCCCTTTCAACATTCTCACCCACCATCTGATAACACCCTTCCCTTACTCATCTTAATTTTATTTTATGTATTAAAATTTTGCCATTTAATATAGCAGTTTCTGCAGCATTATTTACCATAGCCAAGATATGGAATCAGCCCAGATATGACTCTCAATAGATGAAATGTTTTATATATATATATATATATATATATATATATATATATATA